CACCTCGCAACGCCGACGCAGGCAGATTCTGCTAGCAAATTTCTTGATTTAAAAACTGCGGCTTATCTCTCTTTCGGTAAAATGCGAAACGGAAACGTGTCTTCAGAGAGGTTGTTGAGCGTTTATTGTGCGTTGTTTAGCCACAAGGTCGACGGAATGAATGCTGCAGCAACCAACTGTAGTCATGCGAAGAACGGCGAGCAGCAGCTCAAAACTTTCAGCCTGCACCGTAAGCAGAAAGCCCACACAAAATGAGCATACAAAGAACAAGCGCGGACTAAAAAATGACAGCATATCCACGGGGTGAATGAAAGTTGTGGCAGCTTTGGTAGTGGGGCGAAGCTGGGTCCGCACGCCGCTCCCGCGTCGCTTCTGCCTCCCGTTCTCCTACGCCGAGATCTTGTCGGCACCACCGCGCAGCTTCACGGCACGCTTCTGCCTCGCGCGCTCGCACATCAGGGTTCTGTCTTCGAGCACAAGCCACCGCCGCCTTGCATGCCGCCGCTCTAAAGCCTTGGCTATACGTTGAACTTCTGAACGTGCGCGCGTGCAAGAATGGCTTTGATTTTACTCCAACCCGCCTGTAGCGTACGGCGCCATCGACGAACACACGATCGCCAACGTCTTGGTGTGACGTCATTCCTATATTTTCGCGCGCTCACACATCGGGGTTCTGTTTTCGAGCGCGAGCCGCCACGACCTTGCGTGTATCATACTTTTTATCGGCAAACCGTGAATCATCCGTTGGCCGCGTCCATTCGTCGTCTGCCTGTCTGTCTCTCTGTCTGTTTGACGCACAGACGGACGTACGGACGGACCAACGTATGAATGAACGCACGGACGGACGCAAGAACAAATGGACAGATGCATGAGAGGACGCATGGACAGATGGATGTACGGCTGCAGTGATGAACGGTGAATGGACGGACGGATGTATGAACGCACGGACAGACGCGTAGACGAACGCATGGACAGACTAATGAACGCACAGATTAACGCACGAGAAGACGGATGAACGGACGCACGGACACATGCAGGGACGGATGGACGCATGGACAGATGTAGGGACGGATGGACGGATGGATGCAAGCAAGAACGATCGAATGGATGGAAGCGTGGATGGACTGATGGGCGCTTCGCAACACTAATCATCATTCACTCCAGGGATATTCGTGATTCTTATAATTTATCATACTACAAGTAACGTCCTCTAGTATCGTACCATTTGCATTTTCTAGCGTATATGCATTTCGTTATATGTACAAGTACCGCTCTCTACAACCGGTTAAAGAACTAAGGAGAGGTGGCTACGTACGATTATGACGGGACGCTCAGCCCACAACTTCATTGCTCGACCCTTACAGCGCGTTGTATAGGAAGTCAAAGCAACGCATGGGGGTGCTGCGACTCTGGACAGGCAGCGCCATTTTTGGTAGAAAAGTAGAAATCAGGGATGTACATCGCGCGTTTTCTCTTCCCGACAATGCACTGCCGCTCACCTACGTGCTCGCGCAGAGAGCGCTCGCTGCGTTTGAGTCACCTCACAATGAACCGCCGGCATTGCGGCTTCATAAAGATCTCTCATCTGGACAGGAAGTTCCAAAAGCGAATCTAACAAATGGACTAAAGCTCGTCAGTCAAGTTTATGATACGGAGCAGACGACGGAAGATGAGGACGCCCGAATCACTGCGAAATTCATTTCTCAAGTGCTCCGTAATAATACCGTGTACGACGTATGCCTCCAAGTAAGTCTCATTCTGCTGACATGAAACCGTGCACTCTATCGATGTACTGTGTTGACGTTTGCGGAAACCATATAATTGTTGTTTTGATGTGGCATCTAGCAGTAGCAGACGTGTACTGTCATGTGCAAACGTTTGTGGCGTTCTACAAAATAAATAGAAAATAAAGTTGTACGGTCATGGCATAAAAATGTCCGAGAAGTTTCAGAGTCACTGCTTCCGTGCCGAGCATGACCAACTGACGTCACTGCGAATCAGCAAGCTGAACTTGACAGCCAGTTAAGTTGAAATGCTTGCCTCGTTTTTTTTAATTTTTTCCCGGCTCTTGTGTCATCCTTGCTTTATCTTTCGCCAACGTAGCTGTGTTCGCCGGCTGTGACTTTCTGAAAAACTGATACAGCTTTACACGTGGAGAGCGTCTCTTGGTGTTGTCTGCATTGTTGTGGCAGCCCTGAACACAACATACTTCAGATCTCACGGACGCGTCCATGGGGCCGCTTCTTCTATCACGGAAAGACAGCTTCCCACAGCAAGCGTCTCGTTTGAGGGTGCCGAGCTGACGGCACGGCGCCTTAAAGTTCTCTGCACCAACTGCAGAACGCGTTGCGCGCGTGTCGCACGCACTCCCCTTTTGGCGAAACAGACGCACACGCCTGCGACATCTGCCCGCGTCTCTCAAGTTTTCTGGAGCTCGCAGCCAGGGTCAGGCGCGGCGTCGTCATCACTCCGAAAACTTGAGCTTCGGTTCCCTAATACACAAAAAAGGCACTCGAAACGATCGCACAAGTACACACAGGACAAGCACTGACAACTGTAACAACTTTCACTTCTTTGTGCGTAAGTAGTACGCTTATTTTGTAATTGCAGCTGCGGTAGCTAGAGAAGTGACCTTGCTCTCTGGAATCGCACAGGAAAGATCACGCCCCGTGGAGACAGCGCTCCACGAAACGCCAGAAGCGATGACCTTAGGAGCAGACCCAACGCCAGAGAGTCCTTATGTGCTCGCCGCGAGGTGGTGAGCACATGAAGGCACCCTATACAATCACCATCATCAACATCATCATTATCACAATCATCGTCCTCGTTTATTTTCTCTTACAGGCCCCCTTTGGGGTAATACATAAGGGGGGGGGGAACATAAGAAAGTTAGACAGGAGACTTGTCAGATCACAAATTTGAAACACATCTTAGTGAAATTGATTACCAGTTTATATGCAAAATAAAAACTTTTTAATTTAGTGACACATGAAGAACCGTGTAAGGTCGTAATGAATATTGCAGCGTGAAAAGATCAGTGCGCAATTGCTTAAATACGATGGGGTTATGCTCGGTGACAACACTATCTGGCAATGTATTCCACTCTGCAATGGCGATCGGCGAAAAAGATTGATTGAAAGAAGACGTTGAGCCATGCAACCACTGCATGCTGCAGGTGTTAAAAAGGCGACGAGATGTGCGGTGTGGGGGGTTTAGGAGTTTACCACGAAGTTGAGGAAACTTGTAATAGAGCCTATATGGAACAAGCACAGCCTTACAATCTTACGTCGGAATGACAATGACTCGAGTCCCAGGGATGACTTTATGGCACTGACGCTTTCATCACGGCTGTACCTAGAAGAGATGAATCTGGCCGCACGTTTCTGTATAAATATAAAGCGATAAGGAGGTATGCTTGGTGAGGGCTCCAAATAGATGAGGCTATCATAGCTTACTCCGTATAAATGTTTCACACGCCAGTTTTCGCGTGGCTGAGGGACACAAGGAGGACACAAGGAAAGGGAACGTCTGTGTAACCAAGTTATTTAGTAGTATGGGCAGCTAATTTTGTGCTGTGATCGGACCACGCCAAATTGTTATTTATTGTGAGACCACTATAACGATATGATTCGACGGAGGACAAAGCTAGCGAATTCAGGGAGTAGGTGTAACTATTGTTTAAGCGCTTGCGGGTTATCTGCATCATTTTGCATTTCGAGACGTTGAGTTTATTAATGAGTCGAAACAACAGGTTTTGATTGGATAGATCTAAATCATTTGGATGATATCATGGTCACTATGGTGTGCAATGCGCCGATAAAAAACACGGTTATCTGTAAAAAGTCGAATGGGAGATGAACTGCCGGTAGGAAGGTAGTCTATGAAGATGAGAAAGAGCAGAGGACCAAGGACGGATCCCTGTGGTACTCCAGAAATCACATCAGTAGTGACTGAACATCGATTTCCGAAAACTGTGTATTGGAGGCGATCTCTCAGAAAGCAGCGGATCCATGACAATGCGAAGGGGTCCAGCCATAGGCACGCTCATCTACTGATGACGAAAACGTGCTGACGCTAAGGAGCTCCGAGGACCGCCAAATAGTATATGGTGTATATAAGCGGCTTGCTGTTAGCGCTGTTATCTGCATGCGCATTGTGATTGTGGCATAGAGTTTAGCGCTGCGGTTCAAGAGTTCTCTGGTTAGACACCCTGTGGTAAGCATTAGCATGTAGTTTTAAATGCGAGACATGTTTGTTGATTTTGAGCATATCTATCTATCTATCTATCTATCTATCTATCTATCTATCTATCTATCTATCTATCTATCTATCTATTATCTATCTATCTATCTATCTACCTATCTGTCTATCTATCTATTTATCTATCTATCTATCTATCTATCTATTTATCTATTTATCTATCTATCTATCTATCTATGTATCTATCTATCTACGCCCCACTGCGGTGGTCTAGTGGCTATGGTACTCGGCTGCTGACCCGCAGGGCGCGGGTTCGAATCCCGGCCGCAGCGGCTGCATTCCCGATGGAGGTGGAAATGTTGTAGGCCCGTGTGCTCAGATTTGGGGTGCACGTTAAAGAACCCCAGGTGGTCTAAACTTCCGGAGCCCTCCACTACGGCGTCTCTCATAATCATATAGTGATTTTGGGACGTTAAACCCCACATATCAATCTAATCAATTATCTATCTATCTATCTATCTATCTATCTATCTATCTATCTATCTATCTATCTATCTATCTTGCCGCCTACGACTTTTAGCACAGAATGCGAAATGTGAAAGAACAAGCACATAATGCGAAAAGCCATGTTTGGAATAGAGCCCGCGCGAGCTACATTATAGCGCTCATCAGTTTTCTCAACAGCCGACGTTGTGTTCGTCGTTGCCATTGTGCAGTGTGTATTGCCAGCGGCCGTGGTATTGCTGTTGTCTAACTTACCGTTTCCCGGTCGCACGTTCAACCAAATAAACAATTTCATCTAGGACACGGCGACTGCTGCTTTATTTAGTGTCACGACCCTGCGATAATATGAGTGAATAGTTCAAAACTAATCGCTGCACGAACAGAAGCCTTAATCGTCGCGTTCATTCTTTATACAAAAAACACCTTTATTCCGAACAGGAAGTGGCAATCTGCTTCGCTAAATGCGACAGGGGGGTGGCAATCTGCTTGGTGAAGTGCAAACTGCACGTTTGTTCTTTCAGAAACGTCCACTATTTTACTAGGGCTTGACACAGACCATGTTGTGGCATATCTGTAAAAGAAAAGATGGATCAGAAAATTGATCTACTCGTTTCCTGCTTAGAAACGATATCACGCGATTTACAGTACTGTGAATATTAGAATAAAGTAAAACCTGTGCATGTCTGATTAATATGACTGTTCTGAGAGATGCATGCTCTCCCCATGCGATTGAAAGTTGATTTCACAAAATGGTCAATAAAAGGTTCCGAAGGATTTACTTTTTTTTTCTCTATGTACGCATTTATTCCGCATGTGTGAAGCAAACGCAGGGACATCTTTTTCTACGAAGTTTTTATGAGTGTAACAAAACGTTAGCTTACGCCTTTGAAGATATGTTGCTGTACTGCTGTGGCGTATATTTGTTCTACAGAAACTGTTGATTGCATGTAAGACGATGACTCATGCACAGCCTCCCAAATTTTTAACCATCTTGCGTAAGTGGCGACCTTTCTGTGCATCAGCGCCATATGGCGAAGTCTAGTCGCAAAGAGGCGAGGGCAAGAGCATGTCCGTAAAGCACGCTCAGCTGCGCCTATCGTTTGCCGGGCTCTTTCTACTTGAGAACTTCACCTTCTATTGTCTCGCTTCAGATGAACAGACAGCGTGAGCTGGCTAATAACTTCAGTCATATTTCTTTTTTTTAAAGACGTTGCAGTGAAAAACAGAGAAAAGAATTTGAAGGGGCCTTGAAACACTTTTTTCAGTAAATATTGAATTATTTCACTGGAAAAGCGTATTGCCTCACAAATTCAAGACCGCAACTTTTTTTAGAATCCGTACAGTACGAGCGGACCTGTTTTTATTTAACCTGTTGTGTGGCGGAGGGTACTTTCGCCTTTCTAGCTTATAGGGCTGCGTTATTTCGTGGTAACTAGTCATGCGGTCCCCCCACTCCCACTCCCCCCCCGCGTGAACTTCGTCCGAGGCGGCGTCGGCGTTTCGCAACGGCCATCGGGTTCGTGAGTGCTCGAGCCGCCGCGTGCGCCGCCTCGTTTGCCGGCCAGCGGGGTTTGTGTGTGTGCGGGGGTCCATATGACGAAGTGTCATTTTTCCCGAATTTTGTCTTCGTTAGTCATTAGATTCGCAGCGCCTCTCGGGAGACACGACCGTTTCGCATAGTTGCGTATCGCTGCTTGCGAGTCACTATTACTACTTCGGCCTCAGTGGGTCGCCACCGCGAGTGCTATGGCCACCTCCTCGGCCGTCTCGGTCAGTGGCGTTGCACCGTAACGCTCGTCATGCATGTCCCTTTACCGTCGACCACCGCGGCCACGTAACCACACCTTCGCGCGTAAAAAATTTTTCACACGCTGCAAACGCATTTTCTCTTTTGCTGTTCCGACGAAAGCGCTGGAAGCTAAGCAGGGAGAGGTGGGCTAGAGCCAAACAAAAAACGTCACGCAAGCCTTGTGACCTTAAATATTTTTTTCCTTTTTTTTCTTCGAATACGCGGCATTTTTCTCAGTGTGATCGTGCGCGCACTCATGGATAAGTGCAGGCCTCCCTCGGCGATCTCTGTAACGACCGAGCGCGCAATGTTCAAATCAGTCAATGGCTGATAGATGGCACTAAGAGTGGTAGACGAAGACGAGGCTTAACAGCGCAAACGACAGAAGGGGATAGAAGAGACGAGAACAGAGCGCTGAACAGTCTCTTCTATCCCCTCTTGTCGTTTCCGCTGTTAAGCACTTTCTTCGTCTACCATGCAGCACCAACCAGCCCAATCAAGCACCTTTCACTAAGAGTGATTTTTAGGCTTAATGGTGATTTGTCGAGAGATTAAAAAGCAATTTTTGCTGGCTTTGATCATTTATTGTGAATTTCAGGCCAGGTGCTGCGTTATATTGTTTGGCTCGCTTGTTCTCGGGAGCCTCTACTACCGATCGGCAGCATTTTCTGACTATGCTCAAAAAGTGTTGCAGGGCCCCTTTAAAGATACGCACTCGTACACACTCACGATAAAAGCAGTAAATCTACCCATTAGTTCCAAAACCTTTTACATAAATGTGAAAGGTTTCGCTAAGCATGGAAATGTTTTTTTGTATATATGTCTTTTTGAAAGCTTGCCACATGAACGGGTAATCAGGGGTGCACTCGGAGTTTTCACTTGCCCTAGAAGAGTAAAAACATTTATCACCTTTTGTGGTTCAGTTTCAGAGCAGGGTGTCCCATCTATTGCAAAAGATCGTCCGGTTCTGCATCTTCGAATGGCTGTAAGTATCGTGTACCAAGCAGCGGAATACGCACTGCTCTAGGTCGGATTGAAGCTGTAACGAAAAAAAATGTCAATACGGAACTTTCTCCTCGTAGTATAGCCCTGAGTTCTTACGTTCTGCCTAATAATACATCTCGAGCTCCAAATAATAAAATTCAATTATACCAAGTTCTCAATGAGGGAAAGAACTTCCATTTCCGTGCAGGCATACCCGTATGATTCAATGTTGCCGTCCCATCGAGTAACGAAACTATACCTTTTCCTTCAAATTAGTTTTTATGGAAAATGACTGAGCGAAACAGCGACCATTTACTTCTACCTTTGGCAAAATAATTTTGGTACGTGGGATTCAACGCTATCGCTTCGAAAGATATGGGGTCCCTTGGGCAGGGTGTACCTTTATCTTGACGGGGATGTGCGCCCCGCCCTTTCAATTCCAACGAACGTGGTAGTCGTGTGCGTTCTGACGTACTGAATGGTGCTACGGCCCTAGGTCGGCACTTTGGGAGACTACTCACTCATACTCACTCACCACAAATTTTTCAGCCTTCACCCTCACTCACGTTCATACTCACGTCTACTCCCACTCACAGGCCCTCACTCACGTTCATACTCACGCGTACTCGCACTCATGAGTCATTTCTCATAATCTCTCATAATCATATAGTCGTTTTGGGACGTTGAACCCCACATATCAATCAATCGCACTCATGAGTACTCACTAACATTCATACTCCCTCCTTGTCACACTCAGAGTACTGACTCACGTTCATACTCACTCCTTCTCACACTCAAAGTACTCCCTCACGTTCATACTCACGCCTACTCACACTCACTCTTCCTCACTTATGTTCATACTCACTCCTTCTCACACTCAAAGTACTCACTCACGTTCATGCTCACTCCTTGTCTCACTGAGAGTACTCACTCACGTTCATACTCACTCCTACTCAAACTCATGAGTACTCACTCACGTTCAAACTCACTTCTACTCGCACTGAAAGTACTCATTCACGTTCACACTCACTCTTACTCATACTCATGAGCACTCACTCACGTTCAAACTTACGCCAACTCACACTCTATGCCCTCACTCACGTTCATACTCACGACTACTCACACTGATGAGTACTCACTCATTTCATACTCATGATTACTCACACTTGTGAGTACTCGCTCACGTTCACAGTCACGCCAGCTAGCACTCATAGGCCCTCACTCACATTCATACTCACGACTACTCACACTGATGAGTACTCACTCATGTTCATACTCACACCTACTCACAGTCACTCACGTTCATACTGACGCCTACTCACACTCATTGTTCATGGCTCACGTTCATACTCACGACTACTCACACTCTTAGAGAAACACGGACTGCTGGGCGAGTTGGTAATTCATATTAACTGAGGTGCGCGAAAAATTGAAATACAAAAAGAAGACACCTCGAGACAGCGTGCCATGTCCAGGTGTCTCCTTTTTGTACTTCAATTTTTCGTGCACCTCAATTAAGACTCATAGTTACTCACTCACTTTCATACTCACACCTGCTCAAGATCATAAGCCCTCAATCACCTCCGCACTCGCATAAGAACTCACCTTCATACTTACGCCTACCCATACTCAGGTGCACTCACCCACGTACTTTTACATTCACATACTCATCATCATCACAGCAGGACAAAGGCCTCTCCCCTGTTCCGCCAGTCAACTCGGTCCTTTGCTTGCTGTTGCCACTTCATACCCGCAAACTTCCTAATCTCATCTGCCCACCAAACTTTGTCTCCCCTTTTCCCGCTTTCCTTCTCTTGGAATCTACAAATAAACCGGCAGAAAACGAAAGTAATGAACAACAACCTCGAAAGAAAACAGCGCTTCGAGATAGGTGGCAGTGCACTTGAAGTTGGAAAAGGTATATACGTCTACTTAGGACAGGTAGTAGCTGCAGAGTCGAGCCATGGGACTGAAGTAACTAGAAGAATAAGAGTGGGCTGGAGAAGATTCGGCAAGCAATCTCAGCTCATGGCTGGTAGATTGTCACTATCTCCTCAAGGCGAAGGTAAGTAACAGCTGCATCTTGCCGGTACTTACCTACTGAGCAGAAACCTGGAGGCTTACAAAAAGGGTTCAGCTTAAATTGAGGATGACGCAGAGAGCGATGGAAAGGAAAATAGTAGTTGTAACCTTAAGAGTCAAGAAGAGAGCAGAGTGGATCAGTGAACAAACCGGGGTTAAGGATATCATAGTTGAAATCAAGAAGAATAAATGGACATGGGCCGGGCATGTAGTGCGTAGGCAGGATAACAGCTGGTCATTAAGCATAACTGACCGGATTTCCAGAGAAAGCAAACGGGTTAGGGGGAGACAGTAAGTTAGGTGGGTAGATGAGATTAGGAAGTTCGCGGGTACATGATGGCAGCAGCAAGCACAGGCCCGAATCGAGTGGTGAATCACGGGAGAGGCCTTTGTCCTGCAGTGGACGTTGTCAGGCTGATGATCAATAATAACATTGAGGTTGCGTTACGTGTACTCAGCTTACTCAAGAAACAATCGAGCTGAACAATTGTCGCTTTCTGTTAGGATCGATAGGCTCCACAAACAGGCAATTACTCAGCGCATTTACGACGCACCTGCACATTTATTTATTTATTTATTTATTTATTTATTTATTAGAATACCCTCAGGGCCCGTAGGGCATTGTGTGCCATGACGCGTAGGAGACGCTGAGACATCGTTTAGAATATCAGTAATGTGTTACAAGCACTCAAAACGCGCTTTCTTAGGCTACGACGCACGCGCGCGAAATACAGACGCTCTCGACAGCTTCAGTATACTACCCGGCCGCCGCTATGATTACCCGCCAGAACCCAAGACGTTGCCATGCCATCCGGCTTGGCCGCTTCATTCGTTCCACTGCCCCTAGCCCATTCTGACTGCACTAGCGGGACAGGCGGGCGCCGGGGCCTCGCCCCCACGTCGGCACTGCGGCCACCCCGGCCGCCCGGCCACTGATAGGTGTTCTGTGGCCCGGTGCGACCGTCGAGACGGTGCCTCCCCTCTCTGCCTCGCCTTCAGATGGAATGGGTTGCGTACGGCAGTTTTACATTCGAGAAATCGTGCGCATCTTCGGAGATGTTTTTCTTCCTCTGTGGGTTGCGCTCACGCGGAGACTTCTTTGGCTCCGTGCCCGCACTGACGATTGCAGGGGGCCTTATTTATGGATCTGCGGACGCGGTTAAGGTTCATTGGAAGTGTGCGTACGCAGGGTTATCGCGGACAGACGAATGAAAAGGTGATTAACGAGTTGCGTTATGTATGTTTTTGTACTAGCCCGCGTTATGTGAATGATAGAATAAATTATCAAGGGTGATTGAGCGCTTATTCCACATTGTGTCTGCAATGTTGAAGGCATAATAAGCCGCCGAAAATGAAGCGAGGGTAGAGATAGAAACGGCGATGTGAACAGGGTCCGATTACGCTATCGCATACTATACTATTGACGGCGAACCTCCACCGTCCTCCAAGCTTTCCTTTTTTTTCCCTATGGGGCACTGGGAAGGCGAAGTTTGCACACAGCTTCGCGCTTCAGAAGTCATGAGATCACTTAAGGTTTTTGTTCAAGGCAACCGTCACTTGAGGGACAACGCAGAGGTAGAAACTGCAAAATCACTGCGCACAATGTGCGTAGCGCACACAATGTTGTTTCTCTCGTGGGCCATTTCTGCGTTTTTTTTTTGTCGCTTGCGCAGCGCATTTCTTTTTTCTGAACCGGCTCGCGCGGCGATTCTCGTTAAAGGGCTTCTCAAGACCTTGTTGTTTTACATGTATTATCAGCGCGTTGCGTAGACTGAAGGCGCAAGAGGTAAGTGCAGCAAGAACGGTAGCTATAGAGACAGGCAGCTCAAAGCTATTCAGCCTAGAAAATTCAAATTACAATAAAATGAACGGCTACTCTCAACTCGAGTTTTGCGCGGTCATCTCGCCCTTCCCCCCCCCCCCCCCCATCTGATGTAGGATGGCTCCCCCTGTTTCCAAACTACCTGAAGGCTTTTACGTACAGGAAGCTTGCATGCCATAGTGCCCGTTATTTCCAACGTATTGAGGACGCCGTTGCGATGGTTACAAATATTTATCACACTCATAGTAACTCACTCACGTTCCTACTCGTTTCTACTTACACTCACAGCAACTCACTCACCTTCGTAGTCAAGTCTACTCACACTCATGAGTACTCACCCACGTTCATACTTACTCCTACTCACATTCATGAGCTCTCACTCACTCCTAATCACACTCATGAATACTCACTCACGTTCATACTAACGAATACTCACACTCATCAGTACTCACTCACGTTCAAACTCCTACTCTCACTCATAAGTACTCACCCACGTTCATACTCTCTCCTTCTCACACTCAGAGTACTCACTCACGTTCATAATCACTCCTACTCACACTCACAAGCTCTCACTCATTCTTCCTCACACTGATGATTACTCACTCACGTTCATACTCACGGATACTCACACTGATGAGTGCTCACTCACGTTCAAATCCACATCTACTCACACTCATGAGTACTCACTCACGTTCATACTCACTCATACTCACACTCAAAGTACTCACTCACGTTCATACTCATTCTTACTCACACTCACAATACTCACTCACATTCATACTCCATTCTACTCACGCTCAGAGTACTCACTCACATTCATACTCACTTATACTCACACTCAGAGTAGTCACTCACGTTCATACTCACTCCTATTCACATTCAGAATACTCATTCATGTTCATACTCACTCCTACTCACACTCATGAGCACCCACTCATGTTCATACTCACTTCTACTCACACTGAAAGTACTCATTCACGTCCATACTCTCTCTTACTAATACTCATGAGTACTCACTCACGTTCTACTCACTCCTACTTATACTCATCAGTACTCACTCATACTCACACTCACCATGTTCAAATGAGAATGAATGAGTGTGACTGAGTGTACTCATGATTGAGTATGCAGAGCTATGGCCAGCCTATGGACGGCGGCATTTCTTTTGCATGTCAGGCTCTATGTGACAGGAAGCACTGATTGTGTTTTCAAAACATTGCCGCTCCGCCCGCACAAGTTATCGATTTATCATCCGGGTTCCGGCATATCAGCAGCATGTCACACATGGCCGTCTACCTGTACTGCATTGCCGTGACATGGAGCCCTTCATATTCGAACATCTGTAGATGGACGGAAAAATTCTGATCTCGGTTTCACAAAGTTCGCGATGTAACAGAACACGAACGTAGCCATCACTTCTTGAAATCAAGTTTTAACTAGAAAACCATGAAGAATGCACAAGATTTTCTTGTTCTTCTATTATTGTTACTTGTAGCGAGCTAACACTAATGTATTACCGGAAAATAAAACAAGCTACACTTAATGGGCTTAGAAGACGGGGAGTACATCGCATAAAGGTTTGGCAGAACCTACGTGGAGTGTCATTGTACGTACGCACTTTAGATCAGGGTCTCTTCTCCACATGCCATAAGGAGCATTTTTTTCGGCCTGAAAGTGGACTTTATGGGGCTAAAAACAAAGGTGAGTGCCCACAATGAAGTGGCTCGTTATTTCTTTTTATCCCGTGGGTCATGAAGAAGAACAAGTCATCGCTTTCTTGGAAACACGATAAAGATTCTGCACTCGCACCTCACGCACATGCCTGCCTTAACAGTCTACTAGCTCATGAAGCCTCTGGAACGCATTCGTAAGCGCGCACCCTTCTCTCACCACATATACAATACCAGTAGGATTTGACGAAGGTACCGCCTACTAGGACGGAGTGGGTAGCCACCCCCCAAAAGACCCCGTCAAGTTCGCTGTGTATCAAGGCGGGACCAAATGGTAGGTATACCCTCGTAGCTACCCTCCTTCTCTCGTGGTATTTTTAAACCATATAGGTAGCCCAGCTTTCTACGCCATTCACGAACTGTCACTCTCTACATTAAACCTTCCTGGTTTGTATGAGATTCAACATTCTGCCACTGAACTCTGTTAATGGGACGCCATCACCGGGCTAAAACCTAAGGTGGTGTTTTCCACAGCCAAGCAGCACGTAGTTCACATCCTCGTTGTCGTAGCCGCAAAAGCATAGGTTGAAGATCGTGCATGGTGAACCCCAAATAAAAAAAAGGATTTATCTAAGCAGTTTCGAGTCTCAGACGATACATGTGTCAATATGTCTTGGTAGCTGAGAGTCTAATCGGCACTGAAGATATTGGTCGACAACCTAAAATATCCAGTCCTTTATGCTGCCTGAAAACGAGGAGTATATGAGTACAATTTACGTTTCGCTTACGTAGAATTTCGTGTATGTCGCATAGCTATTGTATATCTAATAGAGGCGGGTTTCTTTCTGTACAATGATCACCTGCATTTGCCAACACATCTGCCATTTGATTTCTCTCGATTCCAGAGTCAGAATACAAAATGCAAAGTGATGGTCTTACTTTGGAGCTTCTGAAAGGTCTTTTGGGAAGCCTTCCATACATGCGGACGTATTTTATCTCAATTGGCATTTTTTACACGTGCAAGAGGAAATCCGAGATTACGGTTTACCCGCTTGGTGTGGTTTACATCTCTCCCTTTTTTTGCATGTCTGTTTTCTCAAACCTGTGCCAGGTAGCCTGCCGGATACTACCATCGCCTTTATATTCTTAATAATATTATCTGTAGCTTTACGTCCCAAAACCACGAGATGATTATGAGAGACGTCGTTAACAAAGGCTCTAAAGTTTCTGCCATCTGGAGTTCTTTATCATGCACTGACCTTGCACAGCTTCGCAAAATATGCTTTACGATGGTATAAGCGTCGATGTTCTCATCGTGTATACTTTTTTATGCATTTGACACTGGCCCCCCAAGCTGAAACGCGGTAGCCTAAAAGTACAATGCCCTAACCAAGCATGGTGTAACGACTCGAATGAAATTAGCGATTTAGAATCCTCGAAGTAACTTTTCGGCCATGAAAAGCAAGTTGCTACATTGTGAAAGAATAAAATTGACTAAGTAAAGACACTCTCAGTGGCCAATGTTACAACTCTCGCACTGTCTTTGCCCATTGTGTACTTCGGTTGTGTAGGCCGAGACACTTTATTTTACGTTCCTTTTGAAAGCCCCCCATAACATTTGTCTTTTCATTCACGCTTGTAGTGCTACCAGTGAGTGGTAATCAATTGCCTGTGTGGTGTAAAAACTCAAATTGTAGTCACATTTAAAAATAGCGATTGTATTGAGCAGCCATTTCTGTCATGTGTGATTGAACCGGTTGGCATTGAGGCCATTCATGTCTCTTCTTTTTTGTTATAACACTTCTCGTTCAGTTTGTATATTATAGCGTGCCAAGAACACATCCATTCAAACTATAACTCATTTCATACCGTGGTATTTTTTGCAACTTTTTATCGAAAGTTTGGTACCACACACCAATAAAAACGTCATTGATTCACCTGTAAATCATTTGAGAAGAATATAGAAGACGCACGTCTCACCTTTATATAAGTGGAGTTGGAGTATCTGGGTTCCCTGTAGTATTCCTTACAGAATGTTTGCCCATCTATAACATCCCCTGGAAGGTCTGCCGCCTTGTTTGGTAAAGAAATGACGTGGCATACGTCTTTTCGAAATAGACATTTTGAATATCGCCACCTGCAGAGTGATAGATATATAATGTGCAAATCTTTCCAAATAAAGCAAAGAGAATGGCTGCTAACTGTGAAATTTTTTTTGCTGTTTCATTCATGGCGAAAATTCCATCGTCTTTAGCGGATAGTTTTGACCCGACAATACCTCGGACTCAAGATGTGACAAGTATTGATGCGTATAGGTTTTGTCCCAACGACGCAAAGATAGGTTGCAGTACGGTTGTATACTATGATTGATGTTTCACGTCAAATATATAGAGAGTGGAAAACACTTCCGCCAGGGCGTCTACATTTTAGACTAACTCGGATTTGCATCTGGTATGACCCGCCCGACTGAAAAACATTGTAACCCGAGCCCATCCCGCGTCAGACATGAGAGGATATCAGCCCGCCTGAGCAGGACCCGCGGGCTGGGCCGGCCTCGATCTTTCGGGCAACCCGATGCCCGTTTCCACCTCTACTGAACTCTCCCCTTTTGCTCACGTTTTACGATGTTGAAGCTGTATCACGTTGATCAGCTCTTGTCTTCACCTAGCAATAACTGAAGCTTCATGCCTAACAACAGATGCAAGTGTTGTATTTGCGTAAACTGTTCTTGCATATATCGATTTAAACACGGATTGTCGCACGGTTTCGGTGCGCCGGCCATGTTGTGATGGTAGCTTGGCTTGCTTCATTATATATTTAGCTGTATTTCTAGAGTTTGGTTGAAAATTCTCTAGTTTTTATGTCCCAATTTAAAGTAAGTGACAAACTCTGACGTTCATAGCGTTAGTGAATGCAGTATTTGAACCTGAGTTATAAAATATTACTATAGCTCTAGTACTAGAAGTATAACTTATATTAGTTTACCTTATTGGGGTACATTGTGACGACGAGGTTCTGGAAAAAAAAGATCCTCCAACAACGTACAATAAGCTTTGCAAGAACTTTTATCTGAGGAGGGGAAAGTATCCGCCACCGCACAGAAAACTGAACCGGCCTCAGGCATTACCGCTCAGACTTCTGTAGGTCGGGGCATACCCAAGTCCCGCACTCTTGCACAAAATTTACCCTGAAATTCAGACGTCAAACACTCGCGCGCTTTGCTCGGACTTTGCCAGCTTAGATCATATGCTCTGTCGGTGCCCTGCGTTACGGGTAGAAAACATTACATCGTCAAAGTGGTATGTTGCGCTACGCAATATGAATTTGAGGACGCAGCTATGCGCAGTCCAACGGGCCCACGACGTGGCGGAAAGGTTAGGCCTATCTGTCCCGACGTGGGAGCGGCCCGCTATGCGCTAGTTCGCCCCGATGGACCTAAATAAATATTTTTCATACTATACGAGACCATTGTGGTATATTACTTTGGTTATACCTAACCGAATATTCTTTGGTGACACTTTGTGAATATCTGTTTAAAATACTGAATATATGTTTTGAAAATGGTCTACTTACTGTTCAAAAACTATTTTTATATCATTCATTTACTATTCGTATTCGATTCAGTGTCATCAATATTGATTTATTCTTTGTTTCGTTTCAAAATTGACTATCCCACACCCCTAGTAAGGACTAATTCTTTTCCGTGTTGGGCAAAGTACTCATCGTGTCAATGCGGATCTGTACTTTGTTATTTAGGTTGGGAAAACAGCCTTCAGATTTGGTATGAGCAACACGACGCCTGAAGTTCTTTGGCAAAATAGAGGTATACAACAGAATGTAGTAAGCACACCAATGACAGCCTTTGTGAAGAACAAAAAAAAACTATTTAGCATATGGGCATGGGCATGTGTCCAACAAGAAGATGGAAGAGACTGTATTTTTTGTTTTGAGGTAAAAAGCCAGTTTTGATTGATGGTTACCCGCCTAGCCAGGAAAAACTAGTTTATTGTCAGGTCGTTGAACATTACTATTTTGTTTCGACTCTGTCACCGTAACAAAAAGCGCGAATGCTTTTTGTTTATGGGTTTACAACTGTGGCTCAGGTCATCTTCATTATCTTGATTTACAATAAAATTCCACACATAGCAATCAATTTTCTTTTTTATGTACAATTTTAACTATAAAAAAAACAGGTATTGTGAGTCTTGCCGTGAAGCTTACGTCAAAAAGTCGGCGATGTCATTCTTGCTGCAGTTGGAAAATGCACAGCTGTTATTCCCGTTCCTTCGGGGGCTGCTCATTATGTAACCCTCATCACCTGAGCAGTTCTTTGCTGTGCCGTGACCATCATGGTCAGCGTTCAACCTGTATAAAAAGAATGTTAATATTTACCCAGGCGAAGTTCAGGACATAAGTGAGATAAAAATAACAGGTCACATTTGTTCAATGAGCTCCGCATAATAATACTTTAACTCATCACTGTTTAAAGAGCATCACATGTAACTCATCGCTAATTACTTTACAATGTAGTGCACGCTATTTGAATTCGAGGTTTCTATATTATCTACGGGAAGCAAGCATTGCGGTCACTTCTGACTGCACAATAAACAAGATAATTCATCATCCGCCTCGTGCCAAATACAGTTGTCCTCCTGTGGTCATTGAACGAATGTAGCATGAGGCTATAATGCAGCAGTTGGATGGAGGCAAGCTCGAAAACGGTGAGCCCTGAAGTCTGAAGGCTGCATTTCCTAAGCGAAATGGTTCTGTTTAGTAAAAGTGGGCAAGATAATTACTCTCTGCCAGCATGTTTCGTTCGCCTTGGAAGGACAGGAGCCCGCCCCTACTGCGTCTCTTATATTCATATGGTGGTTTCAGGAGGTTAAACCCCACATATCAATCAATCAAAATCGCCTTGAAAGTGTTACTTGAAGATATTTTGTTTCAGTATAAAGAGTGCTACCAGAAAAGAAACATGAGGTCGATGTACGCACTGCAAATAAGGTTGCAATGAAGGTGAAACTTCTCGCTCACCTAGCTCGGTGCTTCGCAACTCTATTACTAAAATGAGGAACATTTTTTATAGTTTTCTAGCCGAAAACCACAATGGCATTATGAGGTATTTAATAGTGGAGGGCTCCGTAAACTTAGACCACCTCGAGTTTTTCACATGCACTTAAACCAAACAAGCTTGTGCGCTAACACGCGCCTCTAGTATTTCGCTTCCATCAAGGTGCAATCGCCCCTGTCGGGAATCGAACCAATGGTGTTCGCGTATAATTGAGCACATTGACAACTATGCCACCACAGTCGCAGGCACTTTGCATATTCATCTCGTTTAACATGCATGCACTGCAAGTACGCAAGACGCAATTGAGCACAGGTCTATATAGGGTATCCCGTATAGCCGCAGCTGTCTCTCTCAGGTATGTACAGCCTCTGCCACGTCTCTGTAGAGCACGTGAGCAGCCGGCTTCAGCTCTGCCGAGCGAAACCTTGAGGCAGTATCGGACTCTGACGGGGTGTGCTTGACAACTAGGCCGCGCATGCTCCTGATACACGACTTCAGAGCCCGAAACTGCCTCAAGGTGTCACCCCGCATAGCAAAAACCGGCTGCTCGCGTGCTCTATACAGACGTGGCGGCGGCTCTTTTCCCATGTATAACTAGTTTAATGATTTGGGAGAGTAGTGTTTAGGCTGAATGTCTTGTGTAAAAATTCATTGACAATTGCGATATTGATTAATGGCAATTCTGAATAGGTTGTGACGAGATATATGCATGTATGAGCACGGTCCATATTTATGAAAGGGAACACGGGAGCCTGATGCCTATATACGTACTCCAGTGGCCGCTGGCAGCGCGCCGAAGTTGGAGTGAAAGCAACCACAGTTTCTTTTCGCCTCATCGCGCAGCGAGCAAGACAAGCACCCATTGATGATATGGAACCGCTGGCAAGATAACGCCCTCCCCCATAAAGCGATTAAACAAGAGGCCGGTAGTCACCTTGAAAGGTGAAGGCGCTGCAAACTTGCCGCTGATTTCATATCAGCAATGAATGGTTGTTTTGCAACAGAAGGAAAAATAAGTTGAAAAAAACATAAAAAGGGGCACTAGTTCGTAGTGTTCTTCCACCATGCAGTTGTTCAACCATGCATTAACAGACTGTGCATTATTAGTGTCATCCCAAAGCTAAGACAACGATTCGAGTTTCTAACAAGAAACTGCAACTATATAATGTACATATTGACAATCACAGCTATATATTCCTCATTTTATTATACTTCTTTTACTAGTTATCTTCCCAGTCACACTCACTTTTCTCTAATTCCTGACTTCATCAAAATCTATTTTACCAAGTGCGCGCTGCTAACGTGCTCCCTGTCAGTACTCCAGATCTAATACCCCTACTTTAACACTGACATTATTATCTCTTTTTTGCATTCATGAACAATGCGAGGATTGTCCGAAATGTTTTGTAAATATTCAATCAAGATTCTTGCTTTCCTTATGCCTAGATAGGTAGCCCAGGAACCGCAGCATTTTATCATATCGTATATGCTTCTTCTTCACTACCCCCATAATACTGGAAAAATGTATTGTACAGTGTATACCGGTACACATCCACATTCTGTTTAATCCGCGATAAAAACAGGAGTATAGATTAGAAGGAAGACACGTTAATATTCAATTACTGAGCAAATTCTAAAGGCTACTATGTTGCCAATTATTTCGTCGGCTGGTAAACACCATGTCAACACACAATACGTATCCTAAGTCGCAGGCGTTTTGAGCTCCTCAAGGTACTTACAAATGAGCGATTTCATGAGCCGATGTCTGGACACCAGAAAAGGTAACAGGCCGGTCCAACCCTAAGGCAGCTTTGCCATTCCTGCAGGCCTTTCCCTTATTTGCCATTCCTGTGTATTAAAACACAGCGTGATCATTAAAACTGAAAATGACCAGATGGATAATTTGTAGCCAGAAAAGATGTTTTTTAATGATTAGCTTTAGCAATTTGTCTGCTAAGAAGATGAAGGAACCAGTGTTTTTAAATAAGTAATCCCATGACTATAGGGATGAGGGTGGGAGGCTGAGGATGAGGTGCGATATGTGTTAAGAAACAGGGAAACCGAGGCACATCCTACTCGGTGAGAATGGCGCAAAGTGAACCAGTGCACGCGAGTGCGTCGCAGATTTATGCTATATGCACACATCAGCTAGCGGCATGATAGTTGATGTACCTGTCCTTATCAAACTGCTCAGCGCAAGAAATGTTAGACTATGACACAAGAGATGAGTACCAGTGCGGAATTTAAACTGATTTATTCTGACCTCTGTGGCAGCATAGCACGTGTAGTGTCACATTGCTATTCTTGAGGGCGCGGGATATATTAGCGACCACGGCGGCCGCACATTGATGGGGGTGAAATATATAAAGAACACCCGTGAACCAAGATATATGATTCGACAACCGCAAGCCGTCACAATCTTGAGTGTGGCGGCTTGCAAGGTACAGCAACAGTTACAAGGAAGGCACCCTCAGGAATTGTTAGATCTTTGATCGTCCTAATGAAATGCTGGGTATCACCTAGATACATATGTGGGGTTTAACGTCCCAAAACCACCATTTCATTATAAGAGACGCCGTAGTGGACGGCTCCGGAAATTTCGACCATCTGGGGTTCCTTAACGTGCACCCAACACTGAGCACACGGGCCTGTAACATTTCTGCTTCCGTCGGAAATGCAGTCACTGCAGCCGGGATTCCATCCCGCGACCTGCGACTCAGCAGCCGAGTACCTCAGCCACTAGACCACTGCGGCAGGGTGGTGGGTATCAAGTAGGTAAGAGAGGTGTGTAGGAGGTGTGTTCTTAATTATGGAGTCTATGTACTTTAATATTGGTTTGGTGAAGGTACCTTTTCCTGAGACCATTGGTCGGCTGGTGTTTCCTTTTTTGTGTATTTTCGGAAGCATATGAAACCATCTAGGTTTGGCATGTGCTACAGTAAGTGCCCTCAAGAGCTTAGGATCTCACTCTCCGGGTTCTACCAGATCATCATGTGCGGTGGTTTCTATTGCTTGGTGTTCTATGGTTGGATCTTTATCGAGTGGTTTGTAGAAAGATGTGTTGGCTAATTGGCGGGTGCCCTTTCGGATATAGTCGGATTTATTTAATACTACGATTCCCCCGTTTTATCTGCAGGTTTAAGACGACATATCTTCGACCACTGAGTACCTAAGTGCTCCATACTTCTTTTTTGAGAGGTCTTGGTCTGCTGCCGGTTTGTGTGTGTTATATTCCCGAAGTATGCCTTTTTGAATGGCTTCAATGTAGGTATCTAGATGCCTCTCCAGCTTAGAGCTTGGTGTCCACTGTTACCTTGAACTAAAAGGTATTATGGTACTGGTTTCTCCCTGGGTTTTGTCGAAAACGTATTTCCCCAGGCGAATATTCCGTGCGAAGCTATCTAGGTCTTGTAATAAGGAAACTGATTGTATCGGCTGTATAGTAGTGGGGCAAAATGTGAGTTCGCGGGAGATCACGGTTCGTTTATGACTGCTAAGTTAAACGTTGGAGAGGTTAATTAGGTGTTCTGCTATGTTGTGTTGTGTGCAAGTAGTGCCTCTCGGCCGGTCGTTTATGAATTTTATGCATGCTACCAAATTGTGGCACAACCATTAGTTCAGGACCCTCTGAATTGTCAGTGTATGGTTCGCAGAAGTTTGAAAGTTTATCCCTTGCCATTTCTTTCTCCTTTTTTTAATTTCTGCTGTTCTCTTTTTCTCAAAATGTTCTAGTTCGTTCAATTCGAAAAGTGACAACGCCTTACTTGGGTTCATGTCTTCATACTGCCACTGCACAGCCTGTGCAGCCTCTGACTGCCTGTACTGCCAGGCTTGTAATTCAAGGAGTGCCCTACACAGTGCAGTTCGTAGTACTTCCACACTGTTCTCATGACATCATTTTAGGTTGGGATTTTCTCTCCCATCACCAAGCCGTCATTCATTGTGCCAGTGCCGAAGTCACCGTTTGTCCCCTTGGTGATGCGCTACCAGTGCACGATCGCCCTTCCTACGCGAAGTTGGTCATTAGTGCGACACCCAGATCCCTCCACGCGCTACTGTCTTCGCACCTATGTCAACGCTACCGCATTCTTCACGCCTTCCGCTGCTTTCGTTCATCGCCACTTATCACCACCCCTAACGGCTCTTCCTACTCTTCAAGGTGGTGCGACCAACGTGTCTATAGAGGATCCGTTCCCATTCATGATTACGCTGCTTCGAGGCGAATGTATCGGTTCGATAGAATCATTCGAAGCCATCACTACGCTTGACGTTCCTGATGAACCATCGGAAGTCAGTGCCCTCCTGCAGTTCCGTGAATGACCCTTCCACTACCGACATTTTCAACCGTGTCATCGACGAAGGCCTAAACCCACAACATAGGTGTGAGCTTTTGAGCCTCTTGCCCCGCCGAGGTGGTCTAGTGGCTAAGGTACTCGGCTGCTGACCCGCAGGTCGCGGGATCGATTCCCGGCTGCGGCGGCTGCATTTCCGATGAAGGCGGAAATGTTGTAGGCCCGTGTACTCAGATTTGGGTGCACGTTAAAAAACCCAAGGTGGTCGAAATTTCCGGAGCCCTCCACTACGGCGTCTCTCATAATCAAATGGTGGTTTTGGGACGTTAAAACCCACAAATCAATCAATCAAGCTTTTGAGCCTCCTTGACAAGTTTCGGCCATCTTTTGACAGTCACAACGCTACTTTAGGTCGAACATCTACCGTATGCCACCAGATCAACACAGGCAATCACCCACCACTACGGCAGCGACCATACCGTGTTTCGCCGACTGAACGCCGTGTCATCGATGAACAAGTAGGTGACATGCTAAAGCGAGGCGTCGTTCAACTATCAAACAGTCCTTGGGCGTCGCCGGTTGTTTTAGTTAAAAACAAGAATGGCAAGATACGCTTTTGCGTAGATTATCGTCGCCTAAACAAAATAACACGAAAGGATGTTTATCCTTTGCCTCGAATCGATGACGCCCTCGACTCTTTACAAGGCGCAGAGTTCTTTTCCTCCGTTGATCTACGCTCTGGGTACTGGCAAGTGCCCATGAATCCGGTTGATAGACCAAAAACTGCCTTTGTTACACCAGATGGCTTATACAAATTTAACGTGATGCCATTCGGCCTATGCAATGCGCCGGCAACATTTGAGCGCATGACGGACACTATCCTACGAAGCCTCAAATGGAACACGTGTTTTTGTGCTACTTAGACGATGTAGTGGTATTCTCGCTTGCCTTCTCTGTTCTCGTACTAAGTACAAGCGCTGTCATTGAGATAGAAGTAGGCCCGGGCAAGGTTTTCCTGAGCAGACAAGTGGTTGATATTCGCAACACGGTCATAGTGGTCTAACCAGTCTTCTACATCTTCGTGTGCGCCACCACCAAAGCGTTTAGGCTCCAGCGATTGAAAAAACGTTACCTGGGATGGAACGGGAGGACTGGTGCCGAGAAGTACAGGCTGGGGGCTGGTGTTAGCCATTTCTAGATGTCTGGTAGAGGTTTTCTACGAGGGGTTGCAGTCTGGAAGAATATCTCGTAGCCGACGACTGAATCGATGGACAGGGGTTGCAGTAGGCACGTCCGAGCTGGATGAACGGCTCCCACTAGGAGTGTGAAGCATCGGGCAGCGTCGCGGCCCAGCACATATATTGGCAGATCGAGGTAGACCCAAGAGATCGGGAAAAAACCGCTTTTGTGACGCCGGATGGTTTATATGAATTTAAAGTTCTACCCTTCGGTGTGTGCTCAGCGCCCGCTACTTTTCAAAGGCTCATGGACACTGTACTTTCAGGGTTAAAATGGAAGACCTGTTTAGTTTATCTAGACGACGTCATAGTGTTTTCCCCAACTTTTGACGGGCATGGAATGGATATTTTGGGACCCCTTCCTACTTCTACTGCAGGGAATTGCTGGGTTATAGTCGCAACAGACTACCTAACCAGGTATGCCGAAACAAAAGCTATCCAAAAGAGCACCGCAGTGGAAGTGGCGAGATTTTTCATAGAAAATATTGTGCTACGCCACGGTTCCCCGACTATCGTGATCACAGACCGCGGAACAGCATTTACGGCAGCTCTTTTAGACCACGTCCTGATGCTTAGTGGAACGACTCACCGTAAGACCACTGCGTAGCACCCGCAAACAAATGGACTAACGGAGCGCCTCAACAAGACGATTGAAGACATGCTGTCGATGTACGTGAATGTCCAACATAAGAATTGGGACGAAATTTTACCCTATGTCACGTTCGCATACAATACGGCTAAACAAGAGACGACTCGCATGACTCCATTCAGCTTGGTTCACGGACGGGAGGTACGGACTATGCTGGATGCGATGTTGCCACATGAATGGGACGCTACTGACACAGGCGCTGACGTGTTCATTGAACGCGCGGAAGAAGCTAGGCAGCTCGCCCGCTTACGGATCCACCAGCGACAAGACTACGACGCAGGCCGCTACAATGCTCGCCATAGAACTGTAACCTATAAAATCGGTGACAGAGTGTGGGTTTGGACACCCGTACGAAAACGTGGACTGTCCGAGAAGCTGCTAAGGCGATATTTCGGGCCATACCGAGTATCGCGCCAGCTAAGTGACGTCACCTACGAGGTTGTCTTCGACAGTCCCCCAATGCCCCCAGCCTGCGACAGTGTCTTTGCGAAGCTCCGTGAACTGCTTACAACACCACCCCATACTGCGTCATTTCGATTAGAGTGCTCCCACAGAAATCCACACAGATGCTAGTGGTGGCGGTCTTGGCGCTGTACTCGCCCAACGAAAGCCTGGTTACCAAGAATATGTTGTTGCGTACGTGAGCCGCACTCTTACAAGAACAGAAGC